TATGTAAAATAACTGAAGTAGTGTCTAAGAAACTGAGTTGTAAGTAACAAGGTGGTCCTGCACTGTCTGAAGTCCTGAGAAGTCGTTGCTCTTTTGTTGTCGTCTTGGGTGGCGGGCTCAGTACACAGCTGTTTATTCTTAGCTCCTGGCTGTGTCATGCTGCCATATGATGGAATGGAAGTCTAAAAGGAAGCCAGAAGCCAAGGGCTAAAAGTTTGGTGTATCATATGTCAACGTGGAATAAATAGTTTGGACAGTACTGTTGAAGAAAGGACACCTAAATTATAAATATGAATGGAGGGTGTTCAGATTTTCAAATCCAGTCCGTCTCTCTTTAAAACATAGCGCAGGGCATGTACCACCACACACCTCCCTGGCAGCAGAGCTTCAGAGTATACAGGAAAGATAGTCTGTGTGCATGTCTTAAAATGCTTTGTTCCCTATCATTTGTTCCAGATTTAACATGAAAAAGAAAGTGCAATTCCAAAGTGGAAATGGTTTATTAGTGACATATTTCTTAAACAGAATGTGAAAATAATAATTTCTTAACGTAAACAGTCTGAATGAGGAACGGCTGGCTGACTGTGTACTGGTGGGCTGCCATAGATGTGATTGGTACAGTAAGCGTAAACTTCTACTACAAAGATATAATTCAATCAATTGAATTAAACAATGAATTTGGCTCCATGCTCTTCTGTGATCAAAGTTTTAAATATTTGTCTGATGGTCTGAATGGGTAAGGTACGACTTTTGGAGTGGAAGAGAAGGATACTGTCTCTTAAATTAAAATCAAACCCTTATCTTTGTTGTTTTCAATCAAAATCAAATTAATTCATTGGCTCACCTTCATGAATAGCTATTAAAATTCAAACCTGCCTTCATACACTCACTTGTTTTTCCTACTTATGTAGAAACAAGTTCAAATGGAATTAAGTGATAATCAGTGCTGAACCTGACATACTTTTACTTACGGGAAACCACTCTTTAACACATTTTCAGTGTGACAATCCTAAACATTTTAAATTGTCCAGACAACCTTTTCCCTTTTGCAGTCTAATAGCTGAGAGAATAAAGCAAAATCCTTACACGGGGAAAAAAATTCTTTTAGCTTCTAACATAACTTGATGGCTGGAAAAAAGATCAGAGCCTGCACTGTACAGCCAGTGAATTTTGTTCAAAACACAGATGCTTAGTCTGAAATTCTAAAAGCATTTTCTTCTTGCAACTTTGTGCTCAATTTTTTTTTAAAGCGTACCTATTTGCAAGTTTAGTAGAATGGATTTTCTATGCCAGATAAGCCATTTTCAATTAATAATATGTCAGATGACATTGGGGGGATAGAAGATGAACCCGTATCTTTTTCATTTTCTAGAAACCATATTGAAGAAAACCATGTTTTAAGAATTCTGATTTTTGCTTTTATAAAATTTATTTTATAGTGTATGTTGTCTTTTAGAATTTGTGGATTGACTATTCTGAATACTAGCGTTCAGATTTTCTGTGGAGCCGAAAGGGCAAGGAAGGGGTGACTGTTCTTTCATCTTGCCTGTATTGTGTCAGTCTTGCACAGAATCTGGGATCGCCTGACTCACTGATCCAAATTCCCTGTCACATGCCCTCACATCATGTAATTCTTGTCATAAATTAATCACGCTTTATCTTTAGGCTGACTGACTTAGCTTTTTCTAGATGTGAATGTGGTTGCCTGCACAGTCACTATTTAGTGTATCTCCTAAAACTGTTAAAAGGATGCAAAGTTACAGCATCTCTTTAACGTGTTAAAATGGTCTCGGGTAACTATTTTTCTCCTATCTTTCTAGACAGCTTAGGGATGACTGTTGCTTTCAGTCACATCAGGTTCAGCCTGGTGCTAGTTTGTGCTGTTTGGATTTATTTTATTTCTAGATACTCAGTAATACTTAGTGCATTCAAGACATTTTTGTGTTAAGGTACTATTTTCAAAAGCAGTTAATGGTTTCAGGGATTCCTTGAATTTTTTATTTTTTATTTTTTTTTCCTTTTTTTCTGTGTGCTTTTCCTAATACTAGACTTTTCTTGTCTGGAGAGTCAATATACACTATTATAGCAAAGACTGTAATCATCTGTGATAAGTTTTTAAACCTTTTACTTGTCATCAGTCTAGCATTTTAGAAAGGCATATGAAATCCTTTCCTTAAACAATTTGTGAGAGACCAGAGAGAAAAGTTAAGTAGTTATATCGAAATTCTTACTCTCATTTTCCCCTTTTCCCTATGCTTCAGAAAAGGTTTTGTTTACTGATGATCATGCTCTTTAAAATTAAAGAAAACTACATAAACCACAGGTCTTGGATAAGCCATGATAATGAATTATTGCAAGATGATGGGCTGCAGAAAGCACATTGTGTATATAAATACATGAAAATTGTATGACATTTCTGTAAATATTACTTTGTACATAGCTGCTGTTAAGTTTTGGGAAGAAGTGTGCCATCCTTTTCATCTGGGAGAGGACTTTTAAAGTAACTAGTCTGTTTAAACTTTGTCATTTCAGGCACAGTTCATAAGCCTGTACCAAAATACCAACAGCAGGAAACTCATCAGGTAGTTTAGATTTGTAATTTGGTTTTAAATGTGCAATAGGTTGTTTTAGGTTGAGTAAATACTGTTTTCTTCGTACTATAGTAATCTGATCTTTCCTAGATTTCATTGTGGTATCAGGACATTACTGAATACGATCATGTAGAAACAACTATTTCCTAGTATATACGAGCAGGCATTTGCTATTACTGCCTCCTTATTATTATAAGCTTCTAAGCAAAGATACCTTCTCAACTTGCTATCTACAGTGGGTGACGAAAGGGCTTCTGCCATAGCCTTGATCAAAAAAACAGATTCCGATATTGGAAGGGACGAGGAGAGGAAAGTTTTCTCCTATAAAAACAAAATAAGCAACAACTACAATTGTGAAAGTGTATTCCTGTAACCCCAAATAAGTTATTCATGGCAAATGTGAAGATCACACAAACCTAATGTATCTGTAAGCTCAGACGATGTGTCTTACTTTATGGAATTGCATTGCCAAGAGAATTATCCATTCCTTCAGTTCTGTGTTGGCCAAAATAGCCATCTTTCAAAGTGTGATTAAGTACATTAGTCACAATTGCTCATATCCTATTGACTGCCAGTTCAAAAAGTGAAAATAATGAGGAGAAAGGGCTATGTGTGATGTCGCACAGTGGTGTGAGATTTCTTGCTATGTGTTGTTTAGCAGCTTGTTCTATACAGAGGAGGCATGGCAATGCTGGCATCTTTCTTGAGAGAAGATATATTTGGTGTTCTACAGGACAGATGAGACTAAATGACATTTTTCCGTAGACTCTGATTAGCAGTCACTTGCAAATAATCAGCAGTTGCCGCAAGCTCCACCCTGCAGTTCGTGTTTCAGCTGCAGGAATATCTAGCTATCTATTTCAAATTCAGCCATCGTCTTGTGGCCTTTCTGTTTATAGGTCAAGTCTTTTGTGGCCAAAGCTTCCACTAGGAAACGCTAAGTATTTAATGAGAAATATGAGTGGAATCATTGTTTTCACTGTTTTCTTTATTGCTCAGTAACTTTACTCATTGTTTTAAGTGTCTTATGTTTAAAAATCCTTTAAACTCTGTTCATGTGCTAATTAATTCATATATGACATTTGAAAATAGGACAGAGCATCTTATTATGCAGAGTTCTGGTGCTTAAGTCAATGAGCATAGAGGTGAAATGAGTTTGTTCACTTCAGAGATGCAGCAAGTGATGTTTTAATGATCTTGCACTAATCTCTAGGAATTTTATAGCTTCCTCTGAACAAGTTCAGCAGTAACCTGTGCTAAACAGCAATTGGATTTAAACCCCAATTATTTTCTAGTAGAAATAAAAAACTATTGTTCTCAAGTAAGTGGTGCTAATGTGTTTAGTTTGTATAATTAATTTTCAAATGATCAAAGCAACCAACGTAGATCTTAAAATCTTGAAAGGCCAGTGGTTTCTGGAGGTGGGATGGATGGTGCACAGAGTGCAAATCTGCTGATAGCTAATAACAAGCCCACTACCTAAATTCGTTCTTTCTGAAAACTGAGGCTTCTGTCATTTTCATAAGCAACTCTTACACTCCTTTGCAGAAAGTGACTTTTTTTAAAAAGCCACAGCATTTTGTTCTGGCCATCAAAATAGGCCTGCTAAATGTAAAGAGATCTGGTGCAACTTTCATTTAAATCTCAAGGCAGATATGAGCGTACATATACATGCACTGGTATTTTTGACAAAAGGCCCAATTATGTCTGTCCTGGGAAAGATTGTCTTGGGCAATTCTTAGAAGACAGAATGAAGCACTACATTTTGTTTCTGTGGAGTTCTTTGAGATAAGCAATATAGTTACAGATTATTTCAGTTTTGATCAAGTACTGATGTAAACAATAGATTTCTTTTAATCCTAATATAATCTAGCACGGTGGTGAGTTTTTATATCAAATATCAAGTTAATCGTGGAAGACATGCTAGAATACAGTGATGATAGTACTATGTAGTTCTTTTAAGCAAAGTAGTTTATCTTAACATATTTGGATGAAAAAAATCAATGTTTTCCACATCTCCACATCAATATGTTGTAATGATTTTTCCCCACTGTTATGGCAGCTTCATTATTTTGGTGGAAGTACCTTATGTACACCAACAAAGTAGCATCTCTGATAATCGGGTTACATCTAGAGTCTTCCTAACTTGATAAAATTTTCTTCTATATTGTCATTCATACATGTATAAAGCTCCTTCAGTGCTCAGCTTTTAATAACCCTGTTCATAATTAAATATAAATCTGACTAAAAGATATTCTTCTACATTAAAGTCTTGTCATAAAAACATTTTGAATATAAACATTCAATACTCAGTAGAGCGATACTATATATATTTATATATACATACACACAAACGCACTTTCTTCTGTTAGTAGCAAGCATTTTGTTCACTATTTGCACAACTTCACAGTCATGTGTTCCATACAACCACAACTAAATCAGACTTCTGATTGCTCATTACTGTCAGGAATGACAGACGTTAAGGCAGCCTGACAAAAGCGATGTAGTGTTGACATTTTTGTTTTCTGTTCAATATACAGTCGCAGTTTGTCTCTAAAGGTTTCCCCTAGAAAACTGTAAATTAAGGGGTTCAAACAGCTATTAGAAAAAGCTGCTAGGTTCACAATGTGTCCTGTTAGAGGATAATCATGTCTGAAGGATGGGCTGCTTGAAGAGGCAGACTCGCTTTTCTTTTGAAGAAGTTGAACACTAATGAAGACATTTTCAGGTAGCCAGCAGATAAAGAAAACCAAGACAACAACAAAAATCATTCGAAGAGCCTTTTGTCGCCGCAGCCGGAGACTCCTGTGCTTGTGTGCTTTTGTAAGAACTCGAACAATTAATGAGTAACAAAGACCGATGATCACAAAGGGGATAATAAACCCCAAGGTTATTTCTAGCCACTGGATTTCTTTTACATCTGCAAAACAAAAATAGACCTCTCCGGTGTGTTGTAAATGCACAGCTGTAAATGGAACTAGTGCTGCAGAAATAGACGCCATCCATATGAGACCACAGCTTAATCTAGCGTGTTGCATAGTGCGAAATATGTTGGACCTCATTACTTTTGCCAGTGCTATGTATCTGTCAAAACTCATCCATGTCAGAAAGAAAATGCTGCTATACATGTTGATCTGAAGGAACAAAGACATAAAGGTACAAATAATAGTGATATCATAATACTTTTCATCAAGATTAAAAACCTCAATGAGAGAATCGGCAACTAAAATGAGATCAGCTACTGCAAGATTTATGAAGTAAAGGTCTGGAATAGTCATTTTTTCACGAAAGCTTATGTTGACAACCAGTATCAGAATGTTTCCTACAAAACCAATAGGAAAAAGAAATATTGTGTAAAGACATGATAAGAAAAGACCAATGACATATTGTTGGTGTTCTGATTTATCAGCTAATCTGGAAGATAGGCTTTCATTACACAAATGTGATCCATTTAGGTTAAAAGTTGTGCTGTTACATATAACAGGTGATATTGAGGCAGAATAAGCTTCCATGGTTAAAATATCTGCAGAAAAGATAGTAGCACTCACAGTTTGGTGGTAATGCAAAAAAAATTAGACTTTTGGTTGTTTTCAACTAAGTTCACAGTAAGCATTTTGATTGGAATGGAAAAAGATGCACACTTTTGTATAGGAAATTAAAATTCTTTAGAAGTCAAATAAATTAGATTTAAAATTGAGTGAAATGTAACAGTAGAAATAGTAAATTTCTTAAATTTTTTGCAGGACACTATATGCATTGCAAATGAGAGAATTTGCGGTTCCTGTATGCCTTAACATGTAGGAATCTTTTCACCATTATGGTACTTGGATCTCTTTAATAAAAGCTTTTCATCAATAGTGTTTCTTCATGCAGGTTGGAAGGTAGTAGGATTTTAGCTCCATTTGTGTTCTTTTAATAATCAATGAACATCCTTGGACCTGTAATTTGCAAATGGGAAAAGATTAATCTCACACTCCAGCATTGTACCATGTACTTCTGCTAACTTAACATACGCAGCTGAGCTTGTAGAAAATAGTCATGTTTGAATATATATACAAAGGTTCAGTTAAAATAATTTTAATTTCTTCTAGATGGTAATATATTGTGAGGACAGATCTGTTAAAATTTTGTGTACCCTTCAGGGATTCAGTATTGGAAAATGTAGAAATTGGAAATCAGATGAGTGAGTTTAGCCTACTGAAGAAAACCTTATTTTTTTAATAGATATATAAAATATATATGTATTTCATCATCAGCTTCTAAGGCTACTAAGTACAAAGTGTGGCTGGGAAGGCAAGGGAGATAAAAAGCTTCTGCTTTCAGGGAAGTAAAAGGCAAATTTTTGAAATGAAGGTAATACAAGCAGCATATTGGTTTACATCAACATTATTATACTCAATTTGCTTTTCTTTGTGATTAATTATGTTGCGCTGACTTCCGAACAGGAATGGAAAATATCAGTTATTTGTTTACTTATAAATGGTGAATGCTATGGACTTGAAGCATTGCTAGAAGTTTATTTATAATAAACACACAAAAGACAGCTCAAATAACACAGCAAGAAAATTATCATCCAAGGTATTTTGTGCTAAATTTTACATATTTTGAATTGCTTTAATCTTCATTTTACTACCAAAACCTTGATTTTTTAATTACACTAAAACCTATTAAAAAAAGTTAAATTGTTTACTAGTAAAATTCATGCATATATCCACATTTTAATGACTGGCATCCTGCTGATGTACAGTCTGAGGGAGAAAAAGGAGCAGACTACTAATGGAGTAGGAGTATTACAATATTTTCAGTCACAAATACAGCCCCGAGTTTGCTTCAGTGCCTTGAAGTTATGAGAAGTAGCTAGCAGATACTTAAACAAAGCTATCTGTTCCAGAGCTTTTATTTCTTAATTCAGTAGGCATAAGTACACAGTAGCTGTTGCTATGCTTTAAAGCATTTTCATAAGGTAAATCTTTATGCTAAAATATCCATATGAATTTACATTTATTTGAAGAAGGTTTGGTGTTTGTTTCAAGCAGCTATGGAAGTCAGGCACGAACTGTTGTCTTTTACGTAACATCCTTTTATTTTTTGAATACGGCAGTAAACTGCTTTAAATACAATAAAAGATAAGTTAACAGTCTAAGCAATTGATTTTGAAAGGTCGGTCTGTGGTCAGATTTTAATTACATCTGAAAGGCAACCAAAAGCCAAGCAATTACAAGCATTACAGGTAACCATGTACTGTGACACACTTTATTTTACCTTAATTCCATTTCTGCAGAGCTGATTTTCCTCCAGACAACAGAAGGCTGGTTCTTGCTCGGGTACACGCGTAATGGATGTGTCAACTTCGGTTGTCGTGTCAGTAAAAACTTGTATTTAGGTGTGCAAAGCTGGAGTGAATGCCACCTGTTGATTATTCAGTAGTAAAAAAAAAATCATATAAAACTCTATTCTGTTTTAAAATGTTTTAAATAAAGGATGGTTTACAATAGCAAAATGCAGATCTTGCTGCATGTCCTTGGCAATAAAACAAGCTTTATAGATTCCCAGGGTTGTTCTAATTTGTGTGCAGTTGAAGTGCTGCTGAACAGCCTTATAAGGCTAGAATTAACCCTGTTTCTGCTGGTTCCTTTTTTACCAGAATTAGTCAAGCATCTTTGCTCTCATATTTGCCAGTTTTATTTTGCCTATGTTCATTTCGCCCTCCTTTCTGCCTCTAGCATTTTTTCAAATTATGTGGTCCATTCAAACCTACAGCTCAGCTGATAGATAATTTAGAGATTTATTTGCAAATTGTAACTAAGCATATTTTACATAGATACACAGCAATAATTACTGTTATACGTGGTATTTTTTAAAAGCCTCTGGATAATCTAAAGAGAAATATTTGATTGAGAGAAATCTAGCAGCAGAGAAGGGTCATTTGCTAAACTGACAATATGAATTTCAGTTTTCCTACCTTCAAGTTGATCCCATTTTGCCTGTTTAATTTGTCAGGTACACATCGTCATCCTCACACTTCTTAGAATTGCTCAGCTCAAAATCACATGCATAAAATAAGATTATTTTGCAGAGAAAGTGAAGCCTCAGTCTTGCATAAAACCACCAGTATTGCAGGTGAGGTTTTGCATTTCAGCGGTAGGGGGAAAAAACGTACTTGACGTTTCCATTACCACCACCTGCTGGTGGCCAGAATGCTTAGAAGGGAAAGAAAGTTCAACCTTGCTTGCTCGTAAAAGAGAAAGATTTAGTTTGTGCAAGCTGCTTATTATGATGCTATTGATCTGATACGTGAAAGTTAAGTGCCGTTAACAGCTGTACACCGATGCAGCATTCTGCTGCTGCGGGAATAAGATGAACTGGATCTCTGCACTTCGGGTTTCAAGAAGCCAATGTCACAGTTTCAGAAGTGTGGAGTGAACAATTAACATGTCATTATAATGGATATATAACATCTATTGCAGTGGTAAAATGTATTTAGATTATGAAAGATCTAATCTGTAGAAAAGTGAAGCGAGAGCTCTTACAAAAGCAGCTTTGGGAGTAGAAGGTGCCTTTCCGTCTAGTGCCATTGAGGCAAATACACTATTTGCTGATTTCTTGTAATGCTCTGTGCATGGAACACAGGATTTTGGCAGTGTTACTGAAGATGTTGAAGATGTTCTTACACAATGGCTCTTCATAAATAGTTTTAGAATAATTATTTAGCTTAAAAGACAGTTTGTGCAAATTAGTGCTGGTGAAGATTTTCCGAAGAGAAGACTTCCACAGTTCATGGAATGGCTTTCTGGAGTGTCTTTCCACAGGGTTATGAGGACAGAGAGCCTGAAGTGTTTTGCTTTGAGAAGTGTACAAATGTGATTGCATTATAGGACTGGAATAATTGTGATGTTAGAAAAAAAAAATCTTGTGATACCAGCTTTGAAGGTCTTAATTTTTGGCCGTCCTAAAGAGCAGGATTATAAAGAGCCTTTATTGTTGCTTGTTGATCATGTGGGTTTGCGGTAGTTAATTCTGTCCTTCAGAGCTTTCACTGATCTTGTAAGGGCCAGAAGGACTTTTTACTTTCCTGTATGCGTAATGTTAGCTTCTGGATGTTAGTTGTTTGTAATTATGAGGGCCTGGATTTGATAATCAGCTGGCCTGTCCGTGTTTTTCAGCTGTGAATATCAACTGATTTGCTATTAAAATGTATAATTCTATTATGAGTGCTAATTTTCTTGTTTAAATTCACGGTAAGAAACATGTCACTTTGCCATACTTCCAGAATGGTCAGGAAATTCTCTTTGGAAAGACCCATGAAGTAGCTGTTTTTCCTGCTAGTAGAATTGTGAAGCATAAGAGGCTACATCTAGTATTATTATATTCTATTACTATATTGTAATTAGTGAGTTCTATATTTCGCTAAATATTTTATGAGAAGATCATGTGAATTCTCTGAATCCTGTTTCCTGAAACAGATGACAACATCTTCAGGCTCTTGTTTATGCAGTCAAATTATTGTTACTGATGAATCTGTCTTAATCTCACTGTTCATCACTTCCATATTCCATAAAGTGCTTAAAACTAAGTTTAGCAGTATTAAATATTACAGTTCTGCCCATCGTACCTTATCTTGAGTGTTCCTGAGAGTATGCGTGAAAGCAACTGGTGCGATAACGTTCATGTAATGTCAGAGCTCAATAATCCAGCATTTAAAGTTTGCCTAACAGTTTATTTTTAAATCTGTAGTAGTGATTTCTAAAACACTGTATATATCTCAATAAACATGTCTAACGCTATAGAGTCTAAAGACTAGTGTGATTGTCTATGATGTACTCAGGGGCACCAAGAGCCTTGAAGTGGGGTATAATAGAAGAAATTCTATGTAATTTAGCAGACTTCAACATATGTTCCTGCTATTGAGTTGCAGAAAGGTGACAGCTGGGGAGGAAGAAAGTGGGAGGTGTGAGTGTATGAGAGACCAACGTAAGAGGTCTGGTGTGTACCACAGCTCTTGAGCCACCTCTTGCAGCCTCTCCAGCGGGATGATGAGCAGGATAAGCCCTGTAGGATGTAAGACCTGTTGGGTTCTGGCAGGAGTGTGGAAGTGCTTTGGGTATGAAGCTGTTGAGTCCTGGAGAAATTAGATCAGGGCCAGGGTGTATAAAGCTGAAAAAAAAAAAGTAAGGTACTGTATTGCATGGAAGGGAAAGAAAGCATAAATGAAAATTGTGTTGGAGTGTTTACAGCGTAACATAACCATATGCAGAGGAAGAAATAAGATTTGTATAAGCATCTCTACCCACATTTTCTCCAGAAGAAATACAGGTGCTGTTGTAATGGTCATGATATTTTGCAAGTAGATTGATCCTCCAAATTCTCTCTCATTTTTCTGTTAGCATGGATACTGACTCTGACCTTTTTCAGCCACTGCACCTGTCTGCACCCGTTACCCTGTCTAGTGCACCCTCATACTTTATCCTGTCCAGTCTCAGTAACTTTCCCTTTCTTGCAAATAATTAGTTTGAGTTGGAACTAATTGTGTTCTGTGCCTCAGGAAACCTTGGATAGTGTGTATTCCGTGCGTTTAGGCTTTTCAGTTGCCAGTAATTCTGAGAATGTGTTTTTCTTACTAAAAATAATTTTTAGAAGTTCAGCCTTTTCTTTTGCGGGGACACCACCTGTACCCATTCAAACTATCCTGGTAAAAACTTTTTATTTTTCTTAAAGTGTAGATTGTAAAACTCCTGGGGGACAGTATAAAAAGATTTACAAAACTGGACAACAAAATGTTATATAGTGAAAGATGATTCATCATAGGACTTCAGGCTCTATCCAGATGTGATTAGAAAATAAAATTTGCGAAGCATCAGTCATTTTTTACTCAACTAGTTGAGTCTGGCAGCTCTTTGCTTGTACTATGGAAATGAAACACATTCTGTCATTC